AGAACTCATCATTGCTTAGTTTTTGAATGGTTGAAGGGAAACTTTGCAAAAACAACTAAAGAAATTCCCAATATCATTGGGATAATCCTTAATTCTTCAAAATAACCTTTTTTTGTTAGGGGGAGGGGGGTGTTATACAAAGTCAATTTGGTAGAATTAGGGAGTAAATTAGCAAATATATAAATTTGCAGGGTAAGTTCGCAAATTAGGTTGATATTGGGTTATATATGTAAAACCTCTAAATTTTTAATGTTATTTATAACAAAGGCTCCTATTTAGGAAGATAGTAAAGCTCAATAATGCCAAGTCTATGGTCATAATGCGAATTGTAAAAATCTTAATTCTTTGGTTTGAAAATTCTTTACAGGAGTGGTTGGTAATAAAATCACAGGTCTTAAAAATTATTGGCGGAACTCATGTTGGCGAAAAGGGTATTGTTTGATTTGGAATCAAAGTTGGAGTTAATGAAATCATGCTAGTAAGCCCTCAAGAAAAGAAATTGGAGATCAGACTTCATTTTTAGAATTCTGCAATTAAGAGGAATTCAAGGATAGAAATTTTGACTATTTGAGTCAAAATCTACCATCCAAGCATGAGTAAATTCGGGATTTTACCACCCTTGGCGTATAGAGTATCTTGGATTAAAACTTGTAGGATTAGTCCAATACATACAACACCTTACTGAAAATATCAAATAACAGAATTCGCTCTTAGGAGAGGTTCATAATGCATATCTTGGTTTCTAGTTCTCCTCGCACATTATCTCACTTGAGAGGGATAAATAATGTCATGATTCTCTTTTAGAGAAGTTTTACATGATAATCCACCCCGATTGAGGGCTATACAAGATTTAAAGGATGGATTTCCGCTCTGGTTGAGACTTCAGGACTATAAAAGATTTAAAGGATGGATGTCCACTCTGGTTGAGGGCTACACAATATTTAAAGGATGGATTTTAATGATATTTCATAACCTGCTTAAATGCTATTGTCACATGAAATTTGCTTCCAACCAATAACATATCAAAAAGAGGATGAGCCTGGTATTCTCAACTTGAAAGCTCAGCTATGGAAGGAGATACGCCCATGTAGTGGCGGATCTACATTGATTGTTAGGGTGGCAGTTGCAGCCCTAACAATTCTAAATTTACACCAATGTTATCAACGTGCGGTGCGCAATTCATGGTGCAAGTCCCTATACGCGTACATGAGCAAGACGCAATGCGATGCATGACCACCAAGTGAAGCGATGTGCACACCACATACATAATTTTCAAGATAGATAATCAAGCATGAAAGAACACATTCATGAATTTTCACATAAAAAACATGTCAAGATAAATAATATCTACTACCAAATAACAAAATAAGGTATTAATTCATAATGTTAACATGCCCAACATAGTAGTAAAGTTCGTAAGTCTTCAAAGCAAAAGTCAAATCAAGACTCATATTGAAGAAAAATCAAATAGCAAACGAGAACGAGTTAGGTCCTCAATCTCGCTAGTTTAATGGCCTAATGAGTTTATTTTTCTTTTCGAATATGGATTATCGGGTATAAAGTGCCGATTGTAATATTAAAGACCAAGAATATATAAGACTATCTTTTGGAGTGCTTATGAGGTGCAAAAAGGTATTGTCGCATCACATGCTGGGTGCTTTGCCATTGCCCTGCATCGTAGGGCGAATGAGACGCACGCCTTTGATAACACTGATTTACATTTTAAAGACCTTCTAAAATTGCAATTGCCCCATAATTTTAAAGAAATTACAACCCCATCCCTACTTATATAACCACTAAAAAACATATACCTGTTGTCCGGCCCCCTAAGAAAGAATTTTGGGATCCACAATTGAGCCAATGAAACTACCAGACTTGTGTTTGCTTAGAATTATGGGCTTCCAGCATACCATCCCTAGTTGGGGAACTTTACCAAATATAAGAATGGTGGCAAAGTTCTCCCTAGCATCATCTCTTGATGAAAAGAGGCAGGCTTCCGACAATTCATACTTCACTAGTCACAATAATAGGTACTTAATTAGATAATAATATAAATAGAAAGAAATCATTGCCACGATGAAGGACTTGACAGTTCCCTTCACAGCCTACCCATTCTTCACAGCTTCTATGAGACTGTGGTGAAGAGTCATCTCCGATCATTATCTAATCAGGAACTACATCACTATGTCTCCACATTCTTCTGTTCAGACTATTTATAGGCACACAATGCAAGCTTGTAAAAACTTTCTTACAAACCCGTCTGTAAGTATATACACAACGTACTCAGCAGGATAGCAGTTGTTGGCGACTGGTCAGTGCCCCATAAGTTAAGCGACTCAGTGATTGAATATATTTGGAAAGCATTCAAAATCAATTATGAGTAGTTCTTGACTATTTCATGACATTCACGAATACTTCATGATTGGAATATATTAATAGTTTTGAGAATAATGACAACCATTAACGAGCAACCAAAGCTTTTTAAAAAAAAAACACTGTCATGACATCAAATGCAAACAGAACCAGCAAATAACTAACATCAAAGGACACTATAGATTGTTCCAAATTCCCTTAAAGCGACGATGCACTACCTTTGTTCCAGTCACTAAAGTTCTCCAATTTTCCCTCGCACAAGCTCAACCTCTCCTGCGAACAAAACCCAGATGCCAAATTATCAATCTAAACAAACCCAAAAATTTTCTTTAAAAAATAGAGAATAATCAAACTACAAATTGACATAAAATCCTACAATCTCCGTCTTGATAGGATGATCATCTGGCCGGAGTCCGCTGCATCTCAGTTTCACTGCTCAAAGAAATTCCAACTACGCAATCAAAATCCACCACCAACAGGAGGGGAAAAAAAATCTTTTTTATAAAAAAAGAAAGGCCTAAGCTCTACCCGCTAAGAGAGCAGAAGCGGACTGGGAGAGCACGAGGTAAGCACGTGCCCGTTCGAGCGGCGGGAGAGCGGCGAGGACGTCAGGCTCCGCCGCCGACAGGAAGTTGAGGAGATTTGTTTCGAGATCGTCGACGCAAGCTAGGGTTTCTTTCATTGAATCCAGTACTGATTCTGGCACCGCCATTTTCTTGGAAATTGAAAGAGAAAGAAGGAAGCGTCCCTTCGGAATAGAAAGATTGGGGGCGCTGGGGGCGGGGGGAGAGAACGTGTCAGTGTTGGGAGAAATGAATTTGGAGCTTTTATACGTTGAGCGTGATGAATACGATTCACCCCCTTAAGACATATTTCCCTTTCGAGTTGAAATTTTAAAAGATGGAAACCTCTCTATTATTTTTTCTAGATTCCTTTCTTTCTTGTTTTCCTCTCCTAGATACATAGCACATAAGGGAATTTTTTTAAAATAGACCATTTTTGCTAAATATTTAGTAAAATAGATTATTTTACTAAATATTTAGTAAAATAGACCTTTTTTTGGCCAATAGGCAAAAAAGATGTCGATTTTAAAAAACAAGACTCAGAAAACATACGGGACTACTAGTCCCGTATATTTTCTGAGCCTTGTTTTTCAAAATGGCGGTGATTAAGTTGACTCTTGTCCCGTATGTTTTCTGACCCTTGTTTTTCAAAATCGACCTTTTTTTGGTCTATTGACAAAATAGATGCCTATTTTGCTAAATATTTAGCAAAGTGATCTATTTTGCTAAATATTTAGCAAAAGTGGTCTATTTTAAAAAATTCCCCTAGCACATAATTATTGTTTAAATTTACCTTTTTTCTGTCCTTGTTTTGTCTTGCTAACTTTGTTGATAGCATATCTCAAACAACATTAATATTTTTATCTGTGATTTTAATCCTAAATCGAATATAAAACTGAATCAAATGCTAACTTTTCAAAGTAGATTTTGAAGTCCAACATGTGGAATGAAAATAATGTAATATTTATATTTAAAATTAATCTAATAGGCTAACTAATCAGTTAATAATAATAAAATGACTAATTATCGTCTGTTTAGCAAAAACAATATTGTATTTGAACTTATAAATGAATTTTAATTAGGTTAGGTATAAAGTTAATTAGAACATGTTCAGATTACTATAGAATAAAAACAGAATTGTAATAATAATTGTATTTCTCTTCTAAGTTTTTTGCCCTGTTTTTTTCCTTTGAGAATTAAGTTTTTTCCAATTTGATTTAATCTTTTTTTCCCAATACTATCCATATTATTATATAAAAAACTTAGTGACGGTAGCGATTTTTTTTTAAGGAATGGAGGACATTTTCCCTTTCTATTGTTATCCTGAGCTTAGAATTGTAATTTTACAAGAAAGATATTTTTTCATTCCTTTTCTTTTTGTTTCTTATTTCTAGAACATTGTAAATTGTGGTATATGAATAAAATCTGAAACTCAAATAATTATATCATATCATACTCTCTATAAAGTTATGAGTTTGGGAAAAAAATTATTGACAAAAATATCCTTGATCCTTTTAAATATTACATTGTTATCCTACCCTAATTAAAACATATAACAATAATGAGAAGTTAAGGTAAAAATATTGAAATATGTGGTAATTTTATCTTAATGAGAAATTACGGTAGAAATATTTAAATATGTAGTAATTTAAGACAAAAGATAGAGAATTAATAAGAATTTATTTTTTATCTTTAAATTTAATTATTTATTGTAATTAGTGAAGAGATAAATAGTTGTTATTCAATCCTAATATCTTTAAGTTAGGAGATATTAGTTTTTGCCTTTAAATTTAATTATCTATAATAATTAGCAAAGCCAAGAAAAATTGTAATCCTATCGTTATATTTTTAAACTACAACATCATGTTAAAAGATAAGGATTTGATAATTAGAAGTTATTTTTATCTTTCAATTTTATTGTCTATAATAATCAGTAAAGAGACAAAAAAAATTCAAATATTAAAGGTCTGAGGGGTATGTATGTAAAAATCCTAAATTTATTTTTTTATTCAACCCAAACAACTTTTATTTGGAAGAAAACTCTGTTATGGGCATGCACAAATCAAAACTTTAAACTAAACAAAATTCCCATCGCAAGCTAATATTTAATTACATTTAAGCTCATCTAGAATTATAAGTCTTTACAAACATCCATTTTTAATATCTACTCTTTTAAAAACTCAAATTTTATCAATGATACAATTGTCTTGCCCATGTTCGCACGTGGATGTTTATAATTTTTAGGTTTTTGTATGTATTTTTCAGACTTCTGAGGTGCTTGTTTGTATTGTTCAAATTTCAAAAGAGGTTGTCTGTAAATTTCGTCTTTTGCATGGAGCTACTTGTAACATTCAAACTTTTAAGATCATTATTTGTAACTTCTGAATTTTATGGTTCGGTTACAATTTTCAATTTTTTAAGAGGGCTTGTTTGTATTTTAGATTTTAAGGGGTGGTTTGTAAAGTTTATATTTTTAGGGGCTTATTTGTAGGCTTTAGCTTTTTTTGGTTTGTCTATTATTTCATGGATTAATTTATAAATAGGAATGATTTTAGAGGTATCATACTCCTTTAAAGAGTTTGAGTTTGAGAAAAGTTTTCCAGGATTAACACCACCCCTAACTTTTTTAGATATTACATTTTGGAATCCTAATATATCCTAATTATCCTAATACTATGTAAATGTAGGTCGAAAAATGTGATCTCAAATTTGTATTGATTGATTGTGTGTTACAAATTAGAAATCTCTTTTACGCAGAAGAAGAGAGAATTGATTCGATCTCTCTTTTGTTTAATGTGGGATCTTTTGGGGCGAAAGGATGATTCGCTCGATGCTTGAGTCGAGTTTGCTTCCCGTTGACGATTCGAACAAGGTTGTGGACAAACTTCCTCGCATGATAGAAGTTTTGTTTGTTTGAGTTCGAACACCCGAGCTAGACTTTAAAGGCCGAGTGCAAAATGCTTGATTGCCGAGTGTGCCAAGATCTCAATCTTCGGTTTGTCCAATGCTAGGTCCCCTTTTTGGTAGCCATTAGGGGCTATTTATAGAGGAAAACGACATGTAACCACCTCCCAGGAACGTGGGAAGTGGGTGTAACCGCTTCCACAATTTAAGTTTTAGTGACTGACTTGGTCAAGCCGTGCAGGCAAACTTGACGTTCAGGCGAGCTTGACCATTCGGGCAAGCTTGATGAACTTGCAGGCGAACCTCCTAGGCGAAGTTAAGTGTTCAGGCGAACTTAACTTAGTTCAGGTGAACTTGGCCTTGTCCGCAAAGTCAAGTATTCAAGTGAGCTTGAATATGCATGGTTAATTCATGCGAAGCAACGTTTATTAGACGAACTTGGCTTGGTCAGTGAAGTCAAGTATTCAAGCAAACTTGACCTTGTCAACGGAGTCAAGTAATCAGGCAAACTTGACTCTGCCTAGTTGACTCAGGCGAAGTCACGTTATCAGGCGAACTTGCCTCTGCCTATTTGATTCAGGCGTACTTGGCTTGAATGTTCAGGCGGACAAGCAAACTTGGCTTTGTTCATGCGCACTTGGATATTTAGGCGAACTCCAGTCTTGCAGGCGGACCTTTGAATTTCTTTATTAGGGATAAAGACAATTTTATTTGCCTACAATAAACTACAACTTTAAAATATTCATATTACCCCACATGAACAGTTCAGCCCTGAAACCTAATCATCCCAATCTCACATGAACAAATATACAAACTTGCAAAATCACCCCTAATAATTTAAAATTTATTAAGACTTCCAAAAAATTACAAACATACAAACAAACACTAAAAATCTAGAAGTCACAAATAGTCCGTTGGAAAATTATAGAATTTATAAAAAAAATACCCTAAAAGCTTTGTAAATTGCAAAAAAACTTAAATATTCAAAATATACAAAAAATACCCTCAGAATTTCAAAACTAATAGCATATTGATCCGAATTACAAACAACCCCATATGTAATTTGTAATATGTAGAAAATATTTGAAAAGTTCTAAAATTTGTAGAGACACCCTCAAAATTAACTATTGATGAAGAGCACCCAAAGAATTTTGAACCTAACAGTACATTAAAACTATAGGAATTACAAATAGCCCCTAAACAATTCATGATCAGCAACAAACACCCCGAGAGTTTCAAAAAATACAAAAAACCCCTCAAAAATCAAAATTTAATAAGAACCACTCTACTAATTTTAAACCTAACAAAAGTACACTAAAAATATAGAAATTACAAATAACCCCCTAAAATGGTACTTTGAAAATCTATAAATTTAAATTTTTTTTTAAAAAATACCCTAAAAGTTTAGAGAATTACAAAAGACACCTTAAGAATTAAAAAATCAGAGGGAATTTTGCATTTCTTTGATTTTCAATATAATGTTTGAAAGTTTTGAAATTTTCAGCGTATATTTGTGAAGTTTTTAATTTCTAGGGCATTTCTACAATTTTTGAAAATTTTGACGGTTTTTTTGTAGTTTTCTAAACTTTCAATGTGTTTTCAACGTACTGCATAGATATGTCAAGCAATGATGAAGATCTTTAAGAAGAAATGGTTCTTAAGCGGCCACGATTATGAAAATATGCACATCAATTATTCTAGACAATAGTTTATGTAAACAAAAAGTTTCAGACAATAGAGATAGTAGCTTTGTCTTATGTGGAGATAGATTCAGTTAACACATTTAAAGAAGTAAATCAATTAAACAATTCACAATCTATAGAAAACATTTTGAAAGTTTTAAAAATTGCAAAAAGAATACTCAAAACTTAAATTAAAAAATACCGTGAGAATTTCAAACCTACAATCAGTACACTGAATATACAGAAATTACAAACAACCCCTGAAATATTTAGAATTTTAAACATCATAATTTTTTTAAATTTTACCAAAACACACCCAAAATTTTGAACTTTTTTGTGGGAATTTTTGTAATACCTTGATTTTTAGTGTAATGTTCGAAAGTTTTTGAAAATTTCAAATTGTATTTGTAATTATTTTCCTTTAAATTTATAGGGTATTTTTTAAAATTTTCAAAACTCTTGAGGGTTTTTTTTTTTGTAGATTTATAAAATTTTAGGGTGGTTTCAGTGTAATGCATAGATACATCAAACAATCATCAAAATCTCCAAGTGGATGTGCTTCTTAAGATGTATGTACATCCATAACCATGTCGAGTTCCTCATATATAGATAAATAATCTTGCAACCGACTTATGATAAGCATATAAACTCAAGAGTAATAATCAAAATATTTACCCACATACTATATACGTGCATC